CACACACACACACACACACACATGCACACACACACACACACACACACATGAACACACACACACAGAGGGTAGTTTTTCAACTTTTTTTTTTTACTTTTTTTTGTTCCACAAGTGTCTGAGCCCCATTGGGCTCGACCCGTTGATCGGAACTCAACGGGAAGCCCCCGTTATATCATTCAACGGGTATTCAACTCGGGCCTCAAGGCTGTTCAACGGGTTTAACGGAGTTGAATAAATCCCGTTGCAAGTTGAATGGACACACAGATGGTCATCTGTTCGTTATCTTTGTAAATTACGGAATTCCACGGAATTACTGCGTTGTAGACTGGTCAACAGATTATTGTGYCTGGCGGTCTGTTTACTGTTGATTTMTGGAGGGATTCCTTGGGGCAAGCGATTAATTCCTTTTATTTCTTGATTCTTGGTGAGCGATAGATGTGGGTCGGGGAATTTTGTTGGGCCACTTGTGTATATACTTTTATCGCCCTGGTGTAAACATATGTATGTCGGGAGTACGACGAGGGATCTTYGCACAAGATGGGTGGAACATGTTTATCGTTCTTCGAATGTATCCAGAGGAAGTAAAGGTAATAGGARCGAACGACTTTATCGGTGGCTACGGAGAAGGGGTATGGAAGATCATGTTGCGATTCCTATTTATCGATGTTCASAGAGTGATGTTTTGGAGGTGGAAAAGTATTTCATTAGACAGATCTRTCCCACCCTCAACAGTYGAGATAAACSARAACGAGGAAAGAGATTACGGTTAGGACGTCGCGAGAGATTGAAAAGGATGAGACGATCTTCAAATTTTTTAAATATTGAGAGGTAGACAGAGCAGGAAAAAATTGCGATCTTATTTTATTTCTGTCTGACTTTGGCATGTACTCTCGCAGTCTGCTTGGGATTTTGGACGAGTGTAAACGGAGGAACATTTATCGTACTCGTATTCAGTGTTTGGGGGGAGATCTGTTGATGGAGAAATGGAAGGTGGTGCGTAGGATGTATGGTGGAAGTCTGAGGTCTTGTGAACTGGGACATCTGAAACTTCGGTATGCTATAGAATGGATGAAGGGAGGGATGTTTTTTTAGGTTGAACAAGTTATTCCCTTTCTGAGTCGATCCTTGGTTTACAAGGGAACGGTGGCGAACTTTTTGAGTAATCCGGTGAGTAGGAAGTTGGCTTACARCTGGGATTTCGATACCTTGTGCTTTACGTATAGTGYCATTTGGACTTWTTCCGAGAAGCGATCTCRATTTCGGCTGWGATGTATWTTGTCAACCACTATTGCGAAGCATTTTGGAATCRCGGTTARGAAGAGGGTGGTGATTCATATTCGTTATGATGATACTTTGAGTAAGGTTAAGGTTCGACAGTTATGCTCATGGATCTTTGCGGATATGGACATTGGTTTTGCTTGGAGATCGATGCTTATTCGACGCCTACGTGTAGTGTGGACCAGTAACAAGACCGTTGGGCAACTCATTCACAACTTCCGTAATTTYTCCTGTTACCACTYCTTCTCTAGTACCTGTAAMGCTTCTGAGGTAGCTTTCCCTCRGGTTCATGGTCACGTTTCTTTTCGTATGAATRATTTGAATTCGRYACCCGCATGGGCAAAAAACTCACGAAACATTAGTTGCCCCTCAATTTGTCACTATATTAGTGCCKTGCGATGAMAGWTGAYGAATTTTTTCTCCTCCAACCCTTGCTTACTTTCGGTTGACTCGGATCTACTTCCGAATCATGTACTTCGTRGTTGCTTTAATAGTAGGATCGACTTAGGATYTTTAAGAAGCGGCTTGAAGGGTTGGTGTGTATCCCCATTGATCACAACGGAGGCGATACCTTGGTTTGCTGCCCTRTAGTTTTCGAAGCCGGTTTRACTAAGATGTTCYTGGGCAACCCTGCTTTTGAACAAGTATGTGATGACRAGGAATCARTTTTGAGCCAAAGTGGCAAGGATTATGATGAGCTCTGTTTGAACAAGGTTGRTCGATGGAATGCCAAAGGTTCTGTGGGGAAAWATTATTGTATCCCGAAATACAAAGATGTCGGTCKTTGGAGGCCGATCTGTCCTCCTTATTCCGAATGCCCRRTGGCTGGTGGCAAGGCRRTTTCGYGCGCCGTTAATACGCTGTTGCGGAACTTACCTTCATGATGTAATCTCAATTTGYGAAGTGCTGACGAATTAGTCAAAAYATTGAAGAAGATCAWTCAAGGCATGGAACCGGACGATCGRTTAATTGGTGTCTCCTTCGACGTGAAAGAAATGTTCTCTCATCTGCCTCACAATTCCATMTTKGACTCTTTGACTTGGGTCATTGACTTGTGGGATCGGAGGGATGTCAAAGGTGTTGCTGTTCAAAAATTTGGCAAAGGGGCTAAGTTACTTACTGGTCGGATCGAGAATGGTTGGAAGTTTATATCATTTGAATTGATTTTCGATTTTGTTAAATTTGAACTTGGGCACACCTTTATTTCRGTCAGCAGTAGGATTCTTCTACAGACCGTAGGCATCCCAATGGGGAAATCTTCCAGTCCGGCCTTAGTATGTTTGTTGTGTGCTTTTAATGAATTTAAATTTCTTTCAACCTTCGGTACGGATCGAAAATTATTCTCAGGTCTCAGATTGATTGACGACGTTTCAGTTTTCGTTCGTTGTAAGAAAGGGGACCACAGTTCTTTGGCCATTGGCAGAAAAATGATTGAAGACTTTTCTGACTGTTATGACGATAATTTAGTTTTAAAACAGACTAGTTCAAGTTGCTAATGGGATTACTTAGGCTGCGAATTGATGATCGTACAGGGTAATGTTAGAGTGATTTGTTGCCCAGTCATGAAGAATCAGAGAACTATATCTAAGGATGGCTTTGTCTTCCAATGTCTGCAGGACTGTGTGTCTTTTTCGAGTCGGCAACAGAAAATGGCTGTAATCGGATTTTTTTTGCACAGAGTAAGGCCTTACACTTCTATTGAGGGAACAGAGTTGAGATTTCTCATTGCACTTAAACATGAGTTATGGAGAAGGGGGTATCCGAACGACCTGTTTGAAATCTCACTGGTTAATTTTTCGTGAAGGAATGGGGGCATTGGGAGGTGTTGGTTCCCCTATTTGACCAATTTGAAGGGGTTTGGTGTTCGATCCATTTT